CGCACGCCTGTAGTTCCGGCTACTTGGAAGGCTGAGGCGGAAGGATCGCCGGGAGCGTGCTACTGCACTCCAGTCTGGGTAACAGAGTGAGACTCCAATTAAAAAAAAAAAAAAAAGTCTATACTCTGTTTTAAGGACATTGGTGTGAAGACAGGCACCACGCCAGGGGGTGGCGCTCACTGTTCATGAGGTTACCTGATTACTTCTCAGCTTTCAGCACCAACCCCCTCACCCTCACTCCTAACTTACATTTATAACTGTTACTCATATTCCTGTAACTCCCTGGAATGGAACGTCCTTTGAGGGGATAAATCAGACGCACTAACAGGTGGCTTGCAGTTATACTGCCATCCTTAAAAGGAAAAGCTGTTCTCCCTGTTAGAGGACTTGCTATTGACTATTTCCTCACCACAGGTCATGCTTAGGAAGACTTTCAGGAGATGTGCTGAAATTCCAATGACTTAGTCATATGTTCACCTCTTGTTCCCTCTGTGTTGAATGGGACACACCTATAGGGTGTCTACATGGGACTAGGGGTAAAACAGTAACCACAAAACAAAAGAAGCTAACTGACCCAAAGCATAAGGTGGAAACATCACCTTTCCATAGACTAACAGCCTCACAGCTCCATGCTCCTTCTTTTATTCATTTCTTTATAGGGAAAAATTAAAACCACCCTACAGGGCTTAGTGTAACAAGAGAAAGAAACCTTAATTTATCAGAATTCCAGGGAACCTGGGAAAAACAAACTGGCTGGCAGGGCAGGTCTGTATAAAAGCAGTGAGATATAGGAAGGTGGAGAAAACTGGATTACCCATGGGAAGAGTAAAAGACTGTGGCCTTTGAGATAGGGAAGAGTAAATCAGTGGGTAAGCCACTTCCCCTATGACAATCTTTAATGTTCAGTAGAGTTGGTAAGCATCTAATATGTTGAGAGTGATTGGATTTTCTATGAAAAAGGGAAATGAAATGAAACCTTGCATTGAGAATAAAGTGGAGAATGGAGTCAAGAAGGCAAATGGACTCAAGAAGGAAGTCAATTAGTACAAGGAAGTAAGGCTCAGAAATCTTGGAGAGAGTCTGAAAGGTTCCCCAGAGCATAAAATAGATTTGAGGTCACATTTTACCTAAATCTCAAAGGACAGGGAGGCCCCAAAGGTGACAAAGATGTTTTTCAAAGAACAATGTCAAGCCGGGCTCGGTGGCTCAGCCTGTAATCCGAGGCTTTGGGATACTGAGGTGAGTGGATTGGCTGAGCCCGCAAGTTCGAGACCCGCCTGGGCAATTTGGCGAGACCTCATCTCTACAATAAATAAAAAAAATAGCCAAGTGTGGTAGTGCACGCCTGTAGTTCCAGCTACTTGGAAGACTGAGGCGAAAGGATTGCCAGAGCCCAGCAGGTTGAGGCTGCAGTGGCCGGAAGCAGCCACTGCACTCCAGTCTAGGCGACAGAGTGAGATTCCAACTCAAAAAAAAAAAGAAAAAAAAGAACAATATCAGAATTCACGAGAGTTCCATTGTTCCATTTATAGCCAAGATGATCGGTGATAGAACTGATGGACATAGGAAGAAATAAAAGATGGGTATGAATAAGTAGGAAAAAAGGAAGAAAATTCCTGGTGTTAGGCCTTACTCCAATTTGATGACAACAGCAATCACATTCAAAGTGTCCTCAGAGGTTCATGTCTTCAGTCTCTTCCTCATCATCACAGTCTCTAAAAAACTAATGAATAACAAAATTATTCGTTGGTTTGAACTGAGTGTTGACAAAGGTTGAAGTCACACAATTTCAAGATATGTGCCTTACTGTTATTGTTTTCCCTTCTTAACTTTTTAAGAACTACCTTCTTATGCTACATCCTCAACAGCTTTCTCTATATACTCATATGGCAGACTGGTCTCCTATCCTTGATTTTTTACTTGAGAAAAACTGGTTTTCTCCATAGCTTCCAAAACAAATGGCAAGATTACAAAAGAAACCCTTAACTGCCTATATGGATTCTTATTTTTCTTCTACTGTGGCAGGACGAATGACCATAAAATATGAAGGACATATTTTATCACCTGTAAAATGCAGAATCACTGTGAGGAATAACTGAGATGACGTATTCAGAGCAGCTGGCAATGTATTTAACACATAGTAAGTGCTCATAAGTCAAAACTTCTGAAGTAAAAGCTTATGAACACTTACCATGTGTGAATACCAAGGCTTTATACTTCGTTGAGGCCCTAGAGATGGTCCAAAGGGTAAAAGTGCTTAAAAATTCATAGGTTCTCATTGATTTTGCTTATTTGTAAACTGACACTATAAAAATACCACCTCATGAATGTATCTTAGATGTTCAGATAATTTAACCAGTTAGAAAACATAATAGAAAGCCGGGCTTGGTGGCTCAGCCTGCAATCCCACGCCTTTGGGAGGCTGAGGTGAGTGGATTGCCTGAGCCCACAGGTTCGAGACCTGCCTGGGCAACTTGGCGAGACCTCATCTCTACAATAAATCAAAAATAAGCCGGGCGTGGTAGCTTGCGCCTGTAGTTCCAGCTACTCGGAATGCTGAGGCGGATTGATTGCTGGAGCCCAGCAGATCAAGGCTGTGGTGACCAGGAGCGGCCACTGCACTCTAGTCTGGGCGAGAGTAAGACTACAACTCAAAAAAAAAAAAAAGAAAAGAAAACATAATAGAAAGATCCCATTCAAGGCCAAAACCAAAGTTAGTAGTGGTTATCTCTTAAGTTAGGAAATTACAAGTTATCTCTATTTTCTACTTTTTTATCCTATAATGTCTATATTTTCTAAAATTAGCACATTGCTTAAAAATATATAAAATAACCACAAAGAGAAGAAAAAGTATTATTTTCAAAACAACCCCAAATACCCTTAAAAAGACAAAGATGGTTCACCTATAATCCCAGCACTTTGGGAGGTGAGGCGAGAGGATTACCTGAGCCCGCGGGTTCAAGACCAGCCTGGGTAACATGGTGAGACTTCGTCTCTATAATAAATCAAAAAATTAACCAGGTGTGGTAGCGTACACCTGTAGTTCCAGCTACTTGGAAGGCTGAGGTGGAAGGATCGCGTAAGCCCAGCAGGTTGAGGCTACGGTGGCCGTGAGCATGCCACTGCACTCCATCCAGCCTGGGCGACAGAGTGAGACTCCAACTCAAAAAATAAAAATAAAAAGACAAAGGCCATGTTTTTGAAAGATTAAATGTCATCAAAATCTTATTTTTTTAAAGTTGTCCAGAAAGTTAAAAGGCTTCTATACCTTTGTTGTATATTTTACATGGGTGGATTTACTTATATCTGCCAGTCACACTTACTGGCATATAGCTACTTAGTAAATGTTTTTACTAATATTTTATTGGTTGAATATGTTGAATCCTATTATAATGAAAAGCTAAAAAAATTAAAATAAAGAAAATATGGGTATTCACATATTTAAAATAAAGAAAAGGAACTCTAAAAATCTTTAAATTCACTATTTACTTCAAAAAATACCAGTGAAGTAAAGAATAATGGAATTTCCCTGTAGGACAGAGTAAATAAAAACTCTGTGCCCCTCTGGCCTGGAAATGATTTAATTATTGCTGTTTAACCTGAGCTTCCTGAATTTGTTCTAGCCCTAATCCTCGGACCCACCCACATGTCACCCACTATCCCTGAGTAGCCTTCTACTGTGAGAGCTGCAGAATTACTCATTCGCTTGACGTTTAAAAGAGTCATCTTACTTTTAGGGCCTCCTTTCACTACTAGGCACAATCTAGGTTTGGTGAGAACAGAAGCTTATACCATATGAAATTAAGGAATGCTTAAAAACAAACAAAAGAACAAACAAACAAAAAACACACACAGGGCATGGTGGCTCAAACCTGTAAACCCAGCACTTTGGGAGGCCACTTGAGGCCAGGAATTTGAGACCAGCCTAAACAACATAGTAAGACCCTATCTTTACAGAAATAACTTTTAAAAACACAATCAAAACTAAGCACAAAAGAAAATATTTAACAGGTTCTGATACAAGTGAGGACACTGAAACCTGAGCTTCATTATCCTGGTGGTCAGTCTGCCTCTGGTCACACCCTACATTTCCACTTCCCTCACCTCTCCTACATCCCTGTCATTCTTCCACATCCTTTACTTTTCTGCCATGTCTGTTTTCATACATGTTTCCATGTTGATCTGTATATTTAACGCAACTCTTAGCTTTAAAAATGAGCACCTTCTCTTGTTTTGGGATTTTATTTTGGCCTTTCTTTCTTTTTTTTTTTTTTTTTTGAGTTGGAGTCTCACTCTGTCGCCCAGACTGGAGTGCAGTGGCCGCTCCTGGCCACTGCAGCCTCAACCTGCTGAGCTCCGACGATCCTTCCACCTCAGCCTTCCAAGTAGCCAGAATTATAGGCATGCGCTACCTTGCCCGACTGATTTTTTGATTTATTGTAGAGATGAGGTCTTGCCTGCCCAGGCAGGTCTAGAAACCGCGGGCTCAGGCAATCCACTCACCTCAGCCTCCTAAAGGCGCGGGATTACAGGCTGAGCCACCAAGCCCGACTTGGCCTTTCTTATTAAGGTAAATCACCTAGTCATCTATGGTGAAACAACAGTAGAATTATTTTTGTAAAAATTTAAGTTCACAGTCTATTGAAATATGGAATTTCCCTCTTTGGCCAGCAAAGATACACATATAGACATGTATGAGCTGGATATCTTGTTTCCTGTTTGCTTGATGTGGTTGTCAAACAGGACCAGAGTCTACATGCATGGTGTCCCCTGGAGTTGTACATGTCACACTATTATTTTTTCATTCTCAGTGTAGGCTCTACTAATACAACAGAATGGTGTTAAACACATATTTACTTGTAAATTGTTCTTGTATATCAAAATAATCATCACTTTCATTTCTTACAGCCAATTTCCATTCTGCTCAGAAATGAAAGGTGAAAAATCATGTTGGTGACTTTGGTTTCTGTCACTTCAATCTGCTTTTTTCTGTGTTTTAGGCATTGGTGAAGGTCAATGTGAAACTGAAGCCAATGCTAGACTCAATAGCTGCGAACAGAAGTAAGTGGGAAGAAATGCACCAAGAGAAACAGCTGGGCTCAGCTGCCTCGTCCTCCCCTGCTAGCCTCCTGGTACGGGAGGAAAACACAAACTAAACCTCCAGGTCAGCTGTTGCTGCAAAATGACTGTGGCCTGAAGGGCCAGCTTTGGTCCAGCAACATCATCCTTTTGTGTTTTGAGCTCAGAAAGACCTAGAATCTTGAGAGCGCCTTGGGACGCATGCCTTGGCTTTCACCTTGAAGTAAGGTCTGCAGTGGAAAGAGTGACAGGAAAGACAAAGGAGGTGAGGCAGGGAGCACAGTACAGGACCCTCACCTTCCCTGAGGAGCACACATGGACTGAGGACTGTTTTGGAGCCAAGGACCTGAGGACAGTTGCTCAGCTCATTCTGAGCTGAGGGAACACAGAACAGTGAAAGCGTCATTAGCACTGCTTAATTTTGTATACAACTCTTCTGTTTGTTACAAGCCAAAAGCTGCCTGCCTTTGCTTCCTCTCTCTGAACGCTCCTTTGTGCCAGACTGTTCCCCAAAAAATCCTGATTTGTATTCCATAGAGGTGTTTTATTTTTAATTACAAAGCTTTGTAATGATGTATCAGAGCCTTTAGAATTGCCTACCTGAAAGATTATCTATATTATCCTTATAAACACCAACCAATCCCAGCTCTCCCCCCAAAAAGGTCCATTGTAGGAATACAACAAATGTGTTTGTCTGATTTGTTATTCTACATTGGGACCATGGTACCCTTTTTCAGAGTTTTTAAATTCAATCTTCATGATAGACCAAGTCTTCTCCAAGAATGAATGGATTAATAGACTTAAAGTAAGGATGAAAGAAAATCTATAGCTGGATTTACCTCAAGTGACATCTAGGAATATCTAGGAACTAGTTCCATCATTGAGAAATATTTCACAGGACACAGCAGAGCCATAGAGACTGAACATTGACTACCTTGAGTTCTCCTATTGATGAGTTTTGGTATAAAACTTAAGGTTACTACCAGTAACCAACTTAAAGCCAAATACAGGGGTCTCTAATTTTTTATTTTTCTTTATGTGTAAAAAATGATACTTGAAAGCATAAGAAATAGCTATTTAGTCTTGGCAGAGAACGCATATTCTATAGAAAGCCAGGTTTATAATGGGAAAGAATAAATTGTATTAAATAGATGCAATAACTAGAAAGCTGCTTTGTTTCCTGTTTTACCTGAGAGATTGAGGGCATGGTATGTCTATGCAAAGGACACTGGTCTAGAAGGTAGACTTCTATCCCTAGCTTTGGCACTGTTGACTGGATGCATTTAGACAAGTCACTTAACTTCAAGCTTGATTCCTCATTTGTCAAATGAGATAACACTAGAAATAATTTTCAAACACGTTTTAGCCTTATAACTCTTTGTTCAAATAAATCTTTTAAAGAATCCCTGAGATATAAAACTTCAAAAAACTGAATTCCTCCCAGCCGGGCTCAGTGGCTCAGCCTGTAATCCCGCGCCTTCGGGAGGCTGAGGTGAGTGGATTGCCTGAGCCTGCGCGTTCGAGACCCGCCTGGGCAGCGAGACCTCATCTCTACAATAAATCAAAAAATTAGCTGGGCGTGGTAGCACACGCCTGTAATTCTGGCTACTTGGAAGGCTGAGGCAGAAGGATCGCCAGAGCCCAGCAGGTCGAGGTTGCGGTGGCCGAGAGCGGCCACTGCACTCCAGTCTGGGCGACAGAGTGAGACTCCAACTCAAAAAAAAAAACAAAACAAAACTGAATTCCTCTGTTGAAGCAGGGTTTGAAGACCCAGAGCCCCAATAATTCTTCATTTCTTTGATTACGTACATGGTGGTCCACAAAGGGACTCTGGGTAATTTGAAATCCCTGGACTATATGATACCTGAGGTCCATTTCAGCTCCCAAAAGTCTAAAATTTACAAACCAGTTTGTTCTATTGTCACTAATCAGTACCAGTTATTAACTTTTCTACTCAGAATTCCACAAGGGACCTTGTTTTCCTGGCACACAGTAGACATTCAGGAAATGTTTGAAGAAGGAATGGGTAAAATTATGGTAGCAAAATGGAAGTAAGGGGAGAGCAGGTCATTGTAGAGAAGAATATTCTTTATGGCAAGAAATGAAGTAAAAGAAAATTATAAACCAGGCCAAGAGGAAAAAAAGGAAGAAGAAGAAGGAAAGTAAGACCAATAAATGAAAGATAGGGACTGAGGCAAGTGGTTAAGAGAACTGCCAAAGGAAAGGTGAAAGTCACTCCAAACCAAGAAAAATGGCACTTCCAACCAAAAAAATGAAGGTGTGGAATCCTGTCATCAATTGCTTAGAAAAGAGAGACACCTGGGTGGGGAGGAGTTTGACAAAGGAGAGAAGGAAGGAGTGGGAGCCCTACAAAATAATGTTCCTAGCTACACTTTACAGCTGTCTCTGCAGGGAAGACTGGAAAAACTAGAGGAGAAAATGAGAGCAGGAAAAACTGCCTCTGCAGAGCAGGTAAGAGGAGGTTTTTCAGATTTATGGATTTTATTAAGCCAGTTTTCTGAATCACTCTGCTATAAAGGAAAATAGCTTCTGCGGGGCTGTCTCCCCTCCTTCAGGTGAGGAACAAAGAAAGGGTGGGTGGAATCAGGGACAGAGCCTGGTCTGCGAGACCATCATGTGTCTGCAGCTCAGAAGCACTGCAGGTGTTTCAGGGTATTGTACCACATCACGTTTACATCACAAATAGGAATTGAAAATCAGTCCATGTGAGGCAGAGACGAGCTCACATCTGTTAGCACTCCCAACAATAAATAAATGAATAACCCAGACAAATGGATGTCAGTCCATTTAGAGCAACATTTTGAAGCATGTGCTTTATGATAAAACTGGACCCAGGTCTGAAAGAGACTGCAGGCAGCCACAAGCACCGTAGCTACCCTGAACATTGATGCTGCATATTGCTAAGGGGAACATAATTTATAGCACAAGCCCTACAGCTTCCACTAAGGTTGAGTTTTCCTCTCATTTTCTTGCCTTTTTATTGGCTTCACTGCACGGTTGCCAATAGCAACATCCACTGGTAGCAAGGGGAGTTCAACACCATTGCAATCTGCCATACAGTGGAGCCCTGACAATGTCAACCATCAATCAAGCAGCTGTTTGTAATTGCCTCCATCTATTTCTCCTGTCTCAAGGTATCTTTCCTCTTGTGGGTCAAGATTCAGAACTGCTGACTAATGCCATGGGTCTGTTCCTCCATGACCACAAAGCAGTGGAAAGGAGGTGGCAGCCCTCCTGGTACCAACAACCCCAGGATTTAGAGGTTGGACTTTTGTGGGTCTGAGGTATTTTTAATGCCTTTCGAAACAATTAATAATTTTCCAAGAACGTGAGGTTTGTGTAGTTATCCCCATATTCTTCATTTCCAAAATAAAGAGAAATTTTCCCAGTCCTTATTATTAATGCTTATTTTCTGCTGGAGAAAGACTTTTATAATGTGAGCCTTCTTGGAAAACTCAAACTGACCTGATAATGTTTGCTTCCTCAGGTCTCTTGATGTTGATGGTTAAAATGACTTCATTCTACTTTTTCTATGAGATGTATTTTCTTCAGACCAATACTTTTTGTTATTAGTCAGTGTGTAGATAATACATGCACAATCTGCAATGTAGCCAGCAATCTTGGCAGGTAGGGTCAGCTTCACACACTGCAAACAGCACCATCCAGTGCACAGTGGACTGGGTCATCATCCTAGCTTGGCCACTGGCTGAAACTGTAATCTTTGGACTCTCCAGTTCTCATATTCTTCATCTATTAAATAAAAGTACTGACTTTTATTCAGTCCCACACCAAAGGACCAAGATATGTTTGCTTTCTAAAAATTTTCTTTTTTCTTTTTCTCAAATAAGTAAATCTAAAGAAGTCATCTTAATAAAGACACAATAAAAAGTTAAATACATGGGATAGATATACAGTTGTGCCTGAGTCTGTCTCTAGTGATGGTGAAGAATATAGTCATCAATACAATTTTTTAAAAATATATCCTTTTGGCCAGGCTCGGTGGCTCAGCCTGTAATCCCGTGCTTTGGGAGGCCGAGGTGAGTGAATTGCCTGAGCCCAAGGATTCGTGACCCGCCTGGGCAACTTGGCGAGACCTCATCTCTACAATAAATCAAAAAATTAGCCGGGCGTGGTAGCGCGTGCCTGTAGTCCCAGCTACTTGGAAGGCTGAGGCAGGATCGCCGTAGCCCAGCAGGTCGAGGCTGCAGTGGCCCGGAGCGTGCCACTGTACTCCAGTCTGGGTGACAGAGTGAGACTCCAACTCAGAAAAAAAGAAAAAATATATATATACATCCTTTTATTTCATAAAGAACTATTTTAGATTAACTCTTGTCATAGATGTCCCATAAATGGTAGTCAATAATTTAGAAGTGAATTTATTAAGTGAGTCAAGAAAGGTTAAAATTGCATGTGTGCTTTCTGTTTTTAAATCTGAAATGTCCACATATTTCCAGTTATTTTATATTTGCAAATACATTGGGTTAGAAATCATCTTTAAAACTTTGTGTTAGTGTAATAGCAATATTATCTAATATTAATGCTACCAGGATTCAGTTGCTTTTTCTGTATATCAAAATTTATCATACTTTATCCATTTACCTTAGGTCATTAAACATAATCTGCTCAATTTATTTTGTGGTACGATTACTTTAAAATCCATTTTTCCAGCTGACTCTTACAAATTGCATAAAGACAAAAAACAGTTTCATCCCCAATAATATTGTAAAACAATTTTCTTCAAGTGGGACAGAAATCTAAACATTTTAGGAAAAGACTTAAATATAAAGATAAATGTTTTGGCTGGAGAAAAAAAAAACACCAAAATGCAAAAGGGATTCATTAAAACAATAGAACAAAACCTAATTTGGGACCCTAAAAATTTTGGCAATGACATATAGTGAAGTCTTACTATCTGCTTCAGAATAACAATCTCAGAAATTGTTACTCTGCCACGTGCTATAAAGAACTCCCAAAACTCAAATGTATCATGAAATGTAAAGGTTAAGTCTGACTACAAGAACGCCAAAATTTCATCAGCTTCCTTAGTGAACAATAATAGAATAAAATACATAGATGGCAGAAATAAAACAAGGTGTATCTGGAGAATTTCTTGATGAGCATTTAGATTTAGCAATGCCCAATATAGTGTTTACATTGTTTGTATCATGACCTTTCTTCAGCTAGTAATTTGGGGTTGTACATCTTTTTAAATTTAATTTTGAATGTTCTTGCATGTTTGGTACATCTCTCAGCAGTACTAAAGATATGTTATATGTGTGGCATATCTACACTTATGTCATTGAATGTATACAGTGATACAGAAATGTGCTTATTAAGTAAAATAAGTATTTGCTGTTATTTGTGGTCATAATTTATTGCTGTGTTCATTTTCTACGTGTATATATGTGTGTGCCAGAATCTCAATTTTTCTTTTGCTTTAGAGTTAGATTAAGCTATATTTAGGTGAATTTTTAAAAAATAGCATAGTGTGGAAATGGGAGGTTAGGTTTTGTTGAGTCTCATTTCTTTGGGGGAAAATTGTTTTTGCCGTTTTATTTTGATATATAGTAATCTAAAAAGGATCCCCTACTGACTTGCTTCCTAATTATTATTGTTTTACATGAGAGAAGGGAAATATGTTTTCAATTGAGTTGTTTGAAGTCATTCCCTTTGTGTAGATTTCCCAGACTGATGTTTCATTGTAAGAATACTACGTTATAGACTGCTTGGCCATTTCACAAGCAACAAATCCATGGTTTTGAAAGTCAGCTTTAAGAGACCTAAATATCTTTGTTTTTAATAAAATGTTGAAAGTTTAACTAAAGCTCTTTATTTCTTTTGAGAAGAGTGATTTAAGAGCTGAAAGAAGGAAGCATGCATCCGAATACCTGCAGTTTAAACTGCTAATTTAGCCCGTTAACCTTGTCTTGATCTGTGATGTTTGCCTGTGTGACAGGGATACTGGGACAGCCCTGTCCATGGAGTATTGTAAAGATGACAAAAGGTTCTTGGAATTATTTAAGTTTTTCTGGAGGTAGGAGAGTCTGCGGCCAAATGCTGGGTTTCTGTGTCCGTTACAGATTGCTCAAATTTGCATGGGCAATTACACAGGAGGATCGCCTCAATGCAGGGTCTCCAGTCACAGTGACGCCATACAATTACACAACGGCTTCGGTGCTTAAACTTTAAAATTCTTACACCATTGTGCCTGTTCTATTAGAACAAACTGCAGCAAATGATCCAAAGCCAATTCAAATGACCGGAGAGGAGGTACCCAGGGAGATAAAGGGAAGAGGCGCAGTGTGGCCCACTACTGGCCAGCATAAGCAATCACCAGTGCTCCTTTGTGCTTTGCAGTCTGCTGTTGTAAAGTGGGGCCAACAGTA